ACCAGCAACAAGGATCTCACACACACACACTAACAGGAAAACAGAACCTAAATACACACAGGACTAATCAAACCAACAAGACACAGGTGAGGAGGGAGGAGAAACACAGGGCACCAGGTGAACGCAATCACCAGCAACAGACAAGACGGGAGGGGGAACACTTTTCAAACTACAACAGGAAACAGAGACAGACAAACTAAAACATAGACAGATTGTGACAAATATATGCATAAATGACATATAATCACATGCTTCCTGTGCAATGTTTTAGCGTGGAACAAATTAATATACTTCGCCAATAATGAAGCTATATAATCCGTAACGGAGACCGAGATCTATGGCCCCGGAGATCACCTCCGTTACAGCGTGGTCATGGTTTAACTCCAATAGAATTGACTCTGCATTTTTGATCGCACTCTAGAAGCTATGAGTAATAAATACACTCCAAAATGATTAAATATCACTATTTCAGAGCAAAATAGTAATTACTCTGGAAAAAATACTCACCAATATTTCCTGTGTACCTGCTCATTCAGACCGCCACCTGTATACAGTCTGTGAGATAACTTGTTCCAGCCTGTACTCTAGCACATAATGGGCTTCATGGGCACATCATGTTAGCCTCCATAGACATGGAGCTCAACTAAAGCTGATATGCTTCTGTGAGACGCATACAATGTTTGTACAGGTATGAAAGAAATATCTCTAAACTACCTTGTGCATGCTTGCCTACATGTTCATACTGTCTTAGCGCCCAATATTTCCCCCCTGAAAGTGGTATGAAGAGGTCCCTCACCAGGGTGCAGAGAACATCTAATTGAGCCCACAGGGAGACAAAGCAGGAAACAAACACCATCAAACAGGAGGCTATAAACAGGAGGTTAATGTATACTAAGTGCAGTCCAAAGGTTTAATAACTGCTCCTCTTCCAACCCGTTTGAACCTAAGCCCCACCCTCATTACTCTATGTAACAACAGGTCAATGAGTTTATTCATACCAGGCTGCATGAGACCAGTTTACATTCATCATTTCAGGGTTGAGATTAGAAGATAAGGTTTGCCAAGTGTTTGAGGTGTTCAGATTTGTATTTTCCAAAATGTTTAAGAGGGTTTTAAAATGTGTATATGGGTTATACTGCAAGAGTTTTTTTGTGAGTTTGTAAACGGATGATGTGATCTATACGTTCTTTTTTCAGTTAACTTGATTTTACCTTCGAGGCATGCTAGAACAAACATTTTCTTCGAGAATTCAGGGTACAAATTGAAGGATGAGTAATTTATATACAAATGCTCATATTGGGGTGAAATATTCCTTTAATGTATACATAATAGAGGCCTCATGTGTCCTTGCTGAGAGATAAACCAGGATTTGACTTTCTGCTGGTATCTGATGGCTGCAGCCACGTGGGGTCATTGTTACATGATGATGATGATGATGATGATGATGACCTTGTATGGTCAGATTAAATCACAGTCTTTTGTCCACGTAACTTTTTATGGTCTGTTCATTTTACTGTTGGTAGCCCTGAAAAGGCAATGTGTTACTGAAGCTGTGTTTGACATAACGCTCTAACTTTATTGTGTGTTATCAGCGTTTATGCCAAGATTAGGTAATGAATAAATATCATTGGCTGATAAGCAAATACCATAAAAGAGACATTACCTTCAATAACCTAGAATCACGTGCAGAGCAGACAAAAGAAGATCCTGTTTTTAAAATATGAAACCTCAAAGACAATCTAAATAGTTTCATATTTATTGAGTAGTTATATTTTATACAAAGGTGATTTCACTGGATTCCCTCATAAGGAAGTAACAAACAGCTTTGTTACTTAATTTGTGCTTATCATCTTATTTTAGCGTTGAATAAGAGTTTTTTATGACCTTCCTCGTCCCATGTTGTATCACCTCTTATCTTCTTCAGATTACACTTCATATAAGCCACACTAAACTGTGATGTGGCTTTGGTTGAATAAAAGTTAAATGTTATAGAGGTTAATCCGGATGTAGGGTCTTGTTATCGCATGTTCAGGGTAACAGATGAGGGTCTGTGAGGTCATGCCGTCGTTGCTTTTGCTTTGGTTTGAACCAACATGGATGGATGTTTTTATAACACACCTCACTCATTCATGCATTTTTTTTACTACAGGTATTGGGGTTGTAAACTGAAAACAATTAGAGTTCTTATAACGTTTATAACGTGTTTCATAATTTGACCGCAGTCCTCTTATGTATGTTTGATAAGATGTTGGATAAATATTCAATGCGCGGTGTTATTTTGTTTGTGAATTCTTTTTTTCTGATAGTTGACTATGTAAGTTAATAAGGGGTTTAATCTACATATGGTGTTTAATATTCACCTTTATAAAGAAAAATAAACTAACATGTGCTAGTCTAATTTCTTTAGTGTGCTGTAAGCTAAATACAAATGAAGGAAAACTAATTTTTTTTTAAACTTGAATCAGTCAAATTGCTTTATTTAAGCCTTTTTTTGGAACCAAAGCCAATCCAATGATTATTAAATCGACTACAATGATCAGCAGACACGTGATTAGCTACCAGATCCGTTAGTCGTTGCCATGTTCAGGTTTTTTTCAGACTCAGCATCTGTATCACCTGTAATGCTGAAACCTGTCCAAGTGCAATGTCACTGGAGAATGACCAACACTGCATTGTGATCTCACGTGTGTGTGTTTGCCTTTGTTTCGTACTGAAAAGCCACATGTTCTGTTGACATAACTGTTTTCCTCCCAACACGCTGATTTTGATGAGGCAGGCGGTTTGTGTTTGCAATGCGCGGTGCGTTCACTGTCGTCAAACCCTTGTGATGACATTTTGAATTAGATTTTTCAAAGGTACTTTACTGTTAGCAATTGGAAAAATGTTTGGGTAGAGTTTTTATTTATGTGTAGGTGAGGGTTGTAAGGACAGAGGGTTACATCTGCGGTTCAGATTTTATAGCCCCCTGAAGATATTTGGGAATTTTGATGTTGCGCTATGTGGATAAAAATGACTATAATGACTACTTTGTAGCAAGATATTGTGCTCCTGACTTTCCTCACATGATCTGTTGCACAACAGTGTATCGCATGACTGACATTAGAGAGGGCATCCGGTGACCTGAACACAACACACAATCTCTACTGACACAACACACAAACACAAGATGCTTCTAAAACTGAGCCATGACTGACGGTTCATGGCCAGTCCCTCACTCCACTGAGTCCCATTACTCATAATAATTAACGAACCAAAGACATGACTCTGGACTGCTCTCTCCTTAAATTCCCCTCTTCATTATCCTCACTTCCACAATTCACTCCCGATTTTAAAACATGGCAGCATAGATGGTAGATCTGAAACTATTAAATTACTAATCAATTAGCCGATTGGAAAGAAGAATCATTACATCTGAAAAATCCGCTGTTGTAATCCTCACACATATGGAGATGACCTGCTTTATATCATATTAAACTAAGTGTTTGAGTTTCTTACATATACTTAAGAAAAAAAGTATTACTCAGTATTTAATTTGGCACTCTGTTTTATTTATTCTATTTTTTATTTACATACTCTTTCCTATTCCTGCTACTTACTTGCAACCCTTTTTGTCTTGCACTATTTTATTTGTGTATCTCCTTTTATGTCTTAAGTATTGTTTGTTGCATTGTTGGAGGGAACTAAGATGTATACTGCCAAAACTACACTGTAGCTGTTGTGCATCTAATAGTAAAGCCTTTGAGTCTTTGAAACAAAATACATTTAAAGACATTACCCTGGATACTTTTGACTTTACTTAGTTTTTTTCTCTTTTTTTTACCTAAACAATGAATCAATTTATCTAGAAATGAATTGCCCGATTTAATGACATTTAAAAAAACGATCTTTAGTTAGCAGAAGGTAGCAGAAGTTGTGGCCGAACACAGTGTCCCCCCCGCTTTACTGCGAGTGTGCTCTGAGTGTGAATGAAGCTGCTGAATGTTTTGTGCAGAGTTGGTCCCGGCTCCTGTGAAGAGTTTGCTGCACGGCCTGTTTTTGTGTAAACACATTTCTGTCAGCCACATTTAAGGCCAGCACACAGCTGCAGTGTGAGTGTTAGATGGCAGCTTTCACTTCTGTCACCACACATCATACGCCTGTGATCCCTCAGTGTAATGTCAGCAGGCAGTCGTGGTGGAGTTGCCTCTGTGTCAGACTGTGTTTGAGGGATGTCTCTGCCATCTTGTGGAGATTTGTATGTTAGTCTCTGGATAAACTTTCATAAGCATTGCTCAGCAGAAATGTGTTATGTGGGCGATGTCCTTCCACAAGGTCCTTACGTAAAATACTGTCTTAGGTAAAATAAAGCATACAATGATTAAAATATGGAAATTATTTACATGTTATGTGACTGATTAATAATTACCCCTTCTAAAGTCACAATTTCATCTAAACTTAAGACAATTCCCTTCATTTAAAGATATTATATTATTATATTTGATTATTTTTCATTTGATCCACTTGTCAAACTGATCTCTGTTAACAAAAATGCATTATGGTATTGTAGTATAATCAGGTTAAAAAATTCAAGTTAGATTTGTCAGCTTCAAAACTCCAAATAGTAGCATACCCGCATATTTGTTTGCCCATAATGCATCATAAAAGTACTTATAATGCATTATGATCTTCTTATATCACTAACTTTTAGATAAGTGCAGAGGGTCACTCCGTCATTATGTTTTATTACAATTATCATGACTGGTTATAAAGCATTTTGTTATTACTTTTTTGTCAAGTATCACAATTATATAAAAACATATATCTGTATTATAAAATCCTTCTTATATTGTTATAAAGAGTTATGGATATTTATAATTTACGCTTTTTTTATTCAAGACAAATATATTTTGACAGTGCTATCAAAATATTATAATGCATTATACACATGTAATGTATGCACTTTTGGTTGTATGCTCTGCCAAACTAATATTAACCTTCCTCTTCCTCTTCTTCCTCTGCAGGTGATCACCTGTTTCGGCTTCTCCGTGCTCACCTGCCACTACGTGGGCTTCTCCGTGGTGGCCCTGATGGTGGAGATAAACTCTGTGTTCCTCCACCTCAGGCAAATGCTGCTTATGGCCGGCAACGCCACGAGCACGCTGTACCGCATCAACAGCATCATCAACCTGGGCACGTACGTGGTGTTCCGCATCAACACGCTGGCCTGGATGACCCGCTGGCTGGTGCTCAACAGGGACAACGTGCCGCTCATGGCCTACACTCTGGGCAGCGTCGGCATGGCCGTCATGACGGTCATGAATATTGTGCTGTTCTGTCGGCTACTCAGGAGCGACTTTTTGAAGAACAGCACCCGGGAGAACAAGAAGGAGAAGGACATGTAGAGAAGAGGGGAAGGATTATGATAAATACAGACTCATTATTGTATGTTAACGCCCTGTGGCTGAGATTTGGCAGCTTGTGTGTAATATACCTAAAGCTAGGAATCTTTTTAAATCTCTGATACTGTATAGGTACATGCACACAAGTAGTACTTAAATGTCCTGACATCAAACACAGATTACACCGGTCAATATGTTAAAGAAACATTTAGTTGTTGTTTTAAATGTAGGCTTGTGTATCTGTGTGTGGTTTAATCATCTCTATGTGCCAGTAGTGGCTCACTAATGGTAAATGGAGGGTTCTTTTATGTAATCCCTTGAAAAACAACATCCAACGCCTTATTTCCCACAGGGTGTTTAAGCTAAATCTGTTCTAAAATGTAGCTTAAGTGAAGACGCACTGTTCATTACACAAACCGGCAAACAATCCTTTATATTTCCATAGAAAATATCTTAACAATAACATTTTATTTATACATTATATGATACTGTTGTTTTTTCACATCTCTCTCCGCAAAAGTTCATTTCTCTTTTTTTATCCAACACGTCCTCTACCGAAAACTGCCTGATACCTCAGAAAGCTTTTAACAATGATTTGGCTCATTCTTACACAAGTTTGCTGTCAGTTTTCAGTTATTTTTTAAAGCAGAAAAAATTGTACATAAAAACTGTATTTCTCTGCAAGCATATCAAGCAGGATAGAAACAGTAATAGGGTGAATACTTTGAAGTAACATACATAAAACAGATCATGATCGATCACAAAATGCAGTACAGCTTGTTATTATGTAGCCAAACACTTAAAGGTGGGGTAGGTAAGTTTGAGAAACCGGCTCGAGATACAGTTTTTGTTATATTCCATGGAATGCTCTTAACATCCCGATAGCAATGAATATCTTAAGTGCTTTGACAAAAAATCCATAAAAAAATGTAATCTGTGGAAGCCGTAATACTGTAAAAAGCACGACCAATCATTTTAGCCGGCCCGGCTAAAATAACTGGATGGCCTACCTGCCTGTCAGCCTTCCATCTGTGCACAAACTTATCTCGTGCCCTCATTGGTCATGTGCGCGCTCGTGTGTGTTGGAGGAGGGGCTCTGTAAGGAAGTAGCAGATTTCTTCCGGCTGTGTATTTTCAAATTCTAGCGCACTCGAGCTGGTTTCTCCAAAATGACCTACCCCACCTTTAAGGTTGTGAATGCTTTTGCCAAATTGTATTAAAATAGGAAAAGTAAATAAGAAATCATGAACTAAACAGCGAAAAATAAGTCGTACATAAGATAAATCTTTATTGTTTTTGGTACAGCAGCATAATAAAAGACAAAGAATCTTAAAATATAATCTGCTGTATTTTTCACTCCTTGAAACCTGTGAAATGGAAACAGTACAAGCTGAATGACCATAAGAATTGCTCCAAGATACTGACACAAATATTTTTAATGTTTTTAATATATGGCGTTCGTGGTGAAGTGAGTTTGCCGTAGGAGTTTTCAGACAGGCGGAAATGTTTTTCTTCATTTGTCCTTTAGGGGACAGCACACTCCTCCACATCCACTCTCAAGAACATCTGAGGTGTCTTTGTTTTGTAACGTCTTTGTAGACGTGGGCCTCCTGCCTCTTTATATGCCTGAAGAAATACAGAAATCAATCCTGGTCTTGAGATCTGTGATTACAGCAAACCTCACACACAGCTGCTCTAACCACTATTCACAGCATCCCAGTGCTCATACGGCATGAAAAAATCTGCAGCAATTTATGTTTTGCTTTGTGGTTTTCTGCGTGAAATCATTGTTTTGGGGGTATTTTTGTTATTAAGTTATTGAATGTTTTGATTATAGTGAAACTGACATGATTGCGTGAGTCGTTTTGATTGCGAGGCACTGTGCCGATGTGGGTCTTATATTTACATTAACTAACGTCCAATGGAGGAAGCTCATAGTCATTTTGAACCGATCATGTTCAAACACCTAAATCCAGCCTGTCCAATCACATTGCAAACATAATGACCGAGAGGATCATGCTGAGAAACATGTTGTAAATATAGCTCACAAAATGACACAAACACAGCCTTTAAATCTTTGTCAACGTTAACATTAAGACATCATTTCACTAAAGAAATGGCACTGATTCGGAGGGAGACAGTTACATTTTAATCATTGTTGTCGTGATTGATATTAGGATCAAAAGTAACTGCCTTGTGAAATTACATTGTGAATGTGGATTTGCAATTTTGTTTTTTTAAATTATTTTTCAATGCTTCAGGCAGCTTTCATTTTTGTTTGTAGTGAAGACACCTGTTGAAATTTGAAGTTCCTTCTCACAACTGAGCTCATATTTGTGAATGTTTAAAAGTTGTATTGGAATTGGAATTATACACGATGTTGTGCTTTTTAGGAATTGAGATGAAATATAGCAATGAAGTCTGAACTTTAAATTATGATTGGCCCCAGGCCGCAGGATTATTATATGGTGTTATATTTGTGGGTAGTGAACACAAGAACATTTTAGGAGAAAGTGGCAGCAGTTATTAAGTTGTGTTGCCATATCCCCTCATATTTCTCATTATACACAGTTAATGTTGACTGCATTGATCTCCCAGAATCTGATTCTTTATCACACCCAACAAATCATACCAGTTTTATGCCGTTGCTTGTTCATTTATATGCTTCTCTTTTTAACTTTCTGGTGGTTGGTGAAATATTGTCTATTGTTAAGTATGAAAAAAGGAAATTCATAACAACAGTGAAGACTATTGACACTGTGCCTCATGTCTAAGACCTGAAATATCCGAATACTGAAACAGTCGAGACCCTGTAAGGTTGTGAAAGCAAAATCCTCGTCTTTCCTCAGAGCATTAAAGTGTCACGTTTCACTGAATTATGCCTTGAATTGTAAATATAACAGCTTTTATTTTTTCATGTTTTGGCTGATTGTTTTGTAATTAAAGCTCCAATTGATATGTTTATATATTAACATTTTTTGTTCAATGTAAAAATAAAAAATAAACACAAGAACAACAATGTGTTTTTCTGTCATTGACACATGCAGAAGGTTTTCAGTTCATTTGTCTGACATCTGTAAGCAGCTTAAAATTTAGGTTTATGTAATGAGCAATACTCGAGTCAAAAAGGTCAAGTCTAGACTAATAAATACTTATGAATACTAAATAGCGGTGGAGTGAACCATGCTCCTTATTGTAAAAGTATTGTTACCAGAATGCAGTGGTGTTAAGTAACTAAGTACATCTAAGTATTGTACATCAGTTATTTTTTTGACATATTACTTTTTTTTGAGTATTTCCATTAATGCTACTTTATACTTCTTCTCCACTACATGTCAGATTCAAATGTTGTACTTTTTAGTCCACTACTATATATATATATATATATATATATATCACTAGTTTCTTTGTACGTAGCCTATACAATATGGTATAATGCAGAAGTGTACTATTATCTAAATTTACATTATATATTATAATGGATCATCATTGTGCACAATGAGTACTTTAACATTTTGTACATTTTCATAATAATACTTTTGTACTTTTACTTTGGAAATCAGGACCCTTTTCCAACACAGCCAGAATGTAAAATCACACCAACAGTCTTATAGTCGACTGAATTACAGTAAGTAAACCAACATGTACAGGTCACCTTGTATTTTATTGTATTTCAATTCTGTCCTTTGTTTTCCAATGACTTATAACAGTATTGGATTTCCCTTGCTTTATATTGATCCTCTTCAGGGTGAGGGTGCAGCTGATGGAGGGGGTTGGGGGGTGGTGGAGGCGGCTGCTCCTCCAATCAGCTGTCTTTAGTCTGTGTCGTACGATGATCTCGCGTGTTCTGCTCACGGTCTCTTGTTTTCATCATCCCCAGCTCAGCATCCGTTCACAGCAGCTCCATGCCTCAGTCTGGGGACGAGGAAGAAGAATAAAAGGTGCTCATTGTTAACAAAATAATAATGATCTGCGCACTTTATCGGTGGGTTTTTTGCGTTTCCAAATCCTCCTCTTCCTGATGCTGCTCGGGGTTGCAGCGGGGAGCGGTTTCGCCGGAGGTGCGCGGTGCCATGCAGCGAGCTGGTTTTGCATTTTTACGCAGCTCTCCAGCATCTCCGTCCTCTGATGCAGCGGTGTCACATGCTGCTGAAAAGCGCTTTAAGGCTTCAGATAACATGTGTTTGGGTGGATGCCGCAGCCCACAGGATTTGGAGCAGCAGTGGAGGCCAGCATGCCCGGATCCGAGCACGCTCTTATAACAGCTGCTAACCATATTTAGTCGATTTTGGCACTTAACACGTATTAAAAGGTAAGATAGATATTCGCAACGACTACAGACCTAATGATAAGTCGTCATCATTGTCTACTAAGCTGCATCCTGATTGTTAGTGCATGTTTTCTGCTATTTCTCTGATCATCAATACCTTATGTGTAGCTTCCACTTGACCTCAATACAGAACTTCCCTCTCTGTGGCTGACATAAGCAATGTTCCCAGTGGGAAAGTGACATTCAGCAGTTTTACAGTTTATTGTTGAGTTGGAAAAGGGAGTATTTTGAAGCTGAAATGGATGCTGGAGCAAACACAAACACCTATCAGTCCCATCCTTCTGATTTCCTCCCTCTGTCCCTGCAGAAGTGACCATGGGTGAAGAGAGCAGCCTGTCAAAGCAGATAGGAAGTGTGGAGAGGAGCATCGTGTTCCTGAGACAGGAACACCTCACTTTACTGCACGGCCTCCACCTGGAGATCCTCTCCCTGCAGAAGCGATGCTCAGGTGAGTGTCACACTGCTGCTACTGTGTGTGTTTGCATGGGGGAGCAAAACAACCTTTAGTTACCCCACACAATAAGCACAGTTGAGTTCAAGATTTTAGGAGTATAACTCATTCCTATTCATTCCTATTTACACAGGTTACTAGCCTACTGGATGTCATAAAGATTCAAGAAAACATTTGAAACATTTTACTTCGTTTATTGGTGCTTTCTAGACAAGCTTTCATTATATACTATCAACCTCCAGAGATGTATCACCTAGGGCTGCAACAAACTATTATCTGCTAATTGTTATTTTAGTTTAGTTTTGTCTATCATATGTAAACAAGCCTAACACTTTAATATCTTCAAACTGCTTGTATTACTCAAGCAGCAGTCCAAAGCCACATTTCTGTACTATTATTTCTAGAGAAGCACTAGATGCCAGAACCTAGTGTTTGGCGTCTTTATTTGAAATTCTTTGAAGTTAATTGCCTCATAATTTCAGCACTAATGAGCCCACATAAAAGTGAAGAATTCCTTTGGTGTCTTTTGTTGCTGCTATAATCAGCAAGGACGCCTCTCGTTGACCCTCTGAGAGGAGATTTACAGAGATTTTTAATTACAGTCCTGATGTATTATGAGCTAGACGTCAGCTTTGTGACCTCTTTATAATGAGTTTCTTTTTCACTTTATGATAGTCCATCAAGCCTGCACCAGATATATTCCTATTTATTTATTCATTTATTTACCAGGGACAGTGCACATTAATCAACATTTCTGTAAATGTGCCAAAGTTAGCCAAGAGGCTATTTTTCATCTGTAGTTCCTGGACAGATTTTGTAAGTCAACCTATAGATCTATCCTATTAATTATTTCACCTTCATTTGATGGACCACATGATCAATGTTGAATTATGTATAGAAAAAAAAGCTTCTGTTGTGTGTTTAGTTACAATCAGCAGTTTGTGTCACTTTCCTGAGAAGAGAAACTAAATCTCCTCATATGCAGGCCTCAGTGTGTGGTGTGTGTGTGTGTGTGTGTGTGTGTGTGTGATGTGTGTGTTTGTGTGTGTGTGTGTGTGTGTGTGTGTGTGTGTGTGTGTGTGTGTGTGTGTGTGTGTGTGTGTGTGTGTGTGTGTGTGTGTGTGTGTGTGTGTGTGTGTGTGTGTGTGTGTGTGTGTGTGTGTGTGTGTGTGTGTGTGTGTGTGTGTGTGTGTGTGTGTGTGTGTGTGTGTGTGTGTGTGTGTGTGTGTGTGTGTGTGTGTGTGTGTGTGTGTGTGTGTGTGTGTGTGTGTGTGTGTGTGTGTGTGTGTGTGTGTGTGTGTGTGTGTGTGTGTGTGTGTGTGTGTGTGTGTGTGTGTGTGTGTGTGTGTGTGCCATCAATCAACAATGGCTATGGTGATGTCATGCTTCAATTCCTGTAGATTGCGTCATTTCCTGTTTCGGGCCTAATGGATATGTCGTTCATTTCATCAAGCAAGCAAGTGCATATGATCACACATACACACACACATACACACACACACACACACACACACACACACACATACATACTCAAACACATACGCACTCACACATTTTTGTATTACTTTAATTGTGAGGATGTTCTATTTCATGTAATTAATTCCCTGGAGGCTTTCCTTATCCTTTTGTTATTAGTGTCACATATTCTAAACCAAACCTGCCCATTATTGCAACATAAATACACACAAACACACACATGCACGCATACAAGACATACAACAGAGAGATTAATCTAAACATATCCGTGCTTAGTTAATCCATAGATCCCATATCTTCAGTAATCCATATGAACGGGATTGTGGTTAACAAATACATGGGGGAGTAGGTTGCAAGGGGGGGAAGGGGTCTGTGTGCGTGTGTGTGTGTGTGTGTGTGGTGTTTGTATGTGAGTGTGTGTGGTGGAGATGGATAGGGCGAGCTGGCTCAGAGCCAATGCGACCAGTTATGTAGAAAACGACCCCCTCAATCACTTTGTAGCTTTGCTGCACAATCACATCTGGTCCAAAAATAATAATGTGCACGTTAATAAGTGTATTATGTGTGTGGAGAGAAAGGGACTAACACATAAACACAGATTCATGTCACACATTTTTATATTTTTATCCATGTATATGTGAGTGTTCATATCCAACAAATCAAAGCAATGTTTGGCTGAACTTGACCTTCAGAAAGTCAATCGTTTTTGTAATAAAATAATTTAATCAATGAAGATGTCTCAAGAGAGTTCACTACATATTCCTAGTAGAACACAAATATAAATCTTTGTCCTGAAGCTGCTGAAATCCTGAATCTGCACTGCAGAGTTTTTTATCTAACACAGCCTTTCATTTCCACATTCCTCAAAGGTTTTTTATGGGATTTCTGATGCAGGGACACCAATACACCACATCTCTTTCTGCAGAGCATCTTTAGAGCTTCTTATGATCATGCACAGGGAATATCTGTTAAAAGCTTTTGCATGCAAATGACTGTTTTGTGTCCAAATGAAGATTACATTGCCACGATATGCTTGGGCAAGGGGAGTTTATTGTGTTTTGCCCCTTTCAACAACAAATATTCAACAGTGTGTACAGCATACGACACCCTCTGTCCTACGACCCTACCAACATGTAAAAAACTCCTTTGTGGGAGATAAACTGCTTACTTTTTACTCTTTGCATTTTATTTTTTATCCTTCGGATTTGAGCCTTTGTAGACCATTTGCGCGCACAAAAACCCACATAACACACTACAGGAAAGGAGGAAGCCCAAAATGCATATGGCCCTCTTTAACGTGGATCAGTAAAGTCTTGTTTTCGTACTTCTGATTGTTATTTCACAGTATAATATGTGCATATGCACACTTTGCTGTTTCTTTCACAGTTGACAGTGAAGCCAGAACATTTGGGAGACTCTGTTACTTCAGAGACCATATACTTGGAAAGCAGTATCCACTCTTTTGGTCTTTTTCTTGCTCATATCTTTTACACATTTCAGGTTTTTAAGTTGTACACTTTGTTGTTGGGTTTGTGTCTAATTAGCATAGCATGGATTTTGTTGAGGCCTGATGGTAGTGCAGAACTAGTCAGTATTTCAGAGTAAATCTCAGAGCGCTTGACGCTGCCAATCACTTTTTTCTCCCAGATTAAGTATTTATTCCTAGGCATTTAAAGGTGGGGTAGGTAAGTTTGAGAAACCGGCTCGAGATACACTTTTTGTTATATTCCATGGAATGCTCTTAACATCCCGATAGCAATGAATATCTTAAGTGCTTTGACAAAAAATCCATACAAAAATGTCATCTGTGGAAGCTGTAAAAAGCACGACCAATCATTTTAGCCGGCCCGGCTAAAATAACTGGATGGCCTACCTGCCTGTCAGCCTTCCATCTGTGCACAAACTTATCTCGTGCCCTCATTGGTCATGTGCGCGTTCGTGTGTGTTGGAGGAGGGGCTCTGTAAGGAAGTGGCAGATTTTTTCCGGCTGTGTATTTTCAAATTCTAGCGATCTCGAGCTGGTTTCTCCAAAATTACCTACCCCACCTTTAAGTCCCAGAGAGGCCTACTTGAAGATGTGTTAGTTTTGAGACCATGGTTCCCATATAACTTGTAATTATCTCAGTTTTTTAACTGTTTAATTAAAAACAGTTCAAAGATATACAATGAGGTAATGCTGGACAGTATTGGGGCTATAGGAGCTTCTGATAGGATAATGCAGTCAGCAGTTGTGGTAGGCGTTTGCTGCCAGCTCAATAATGTGCAGCCTGGAAGGAGACTGCAAGGTTGATCTGCCCATGTTGCTCTGCCTCTATACCGCTGACCGCCTTTATTGTCCTCAACTCTCCTTCTCATCCACTTAAAGGCTCTTATACTTCTCTCTCCTTGAACAACCAGGAAGTCAATATCTGTCTTTGTTTTGGTTATTTTTCTTTTAATATAATGTGTTAGTTGTGCGTCATAGAAATCAATGAGGTGTGTGTGTGTGTGTGTGTGTGTGTCGTTCAAGATATGGTTGCAACATTCAAGGTCGAACCACGAAACAGAGCCTTGAATGCTCAGTGAGGCTGTAGGAGATAAGACAGAACTACCAGACATACCAAGCTCGGGATGTGCTGAGCTCCTACTTTTCATTGTGAAACTGTTTCTTCAAGACATAATTCCTGTAGCCGACTTTCTGCAGTTAAATTACCCTCATCAAGTCAACCCCTACCTTTTTAGCCTTGCTTGATATAAAGCTTTTTTAATAAAGCACAATTGGCGCATTATTTGTTTGTTTTTCAATGTCTGCATAGTTTAGTCTGTTTTGCTTTTTAGTAAATTGGATTTAAATGAAAATGTGTAATCCTGTATCTGGTGTTTCCTCACTGTCAATTGATGACATCTTTTATAGCTTTTTCTCATTTCTATGATTTGTATTTCTATAGCATGCTGTTCTTTTTCTGATTGATTGATATGTGTCAGGGCAGTTCTGAAAGAGGATAATGATAGATGACAGGACCTCTCAAAGTCTCCCATATGTTGCAATCAATTCACTACATAAACAGCAATCAGGCTCTCTTTCTATGCCTGTCTGAGTTCCTCTATCCGCCCTTTCCTCACTATCTGTCGTCATCTCTTCATGCCAGCTGCATGGGTGGGCGTGTAATGCTGACTGCAGAGAGAAAGGGTGTGACAATAGGAGCAGAAAGGCTGGGAATAACACATATGCTGTTCTAGAGTCTGATTTATATCACCAGTAAAATTAGAAGTAAGAAATGTAGTTGATATTCATAGATTTAAAGGATGTTTTTAATTAAACTAGTTTAATAGCTGATTGAACACTCAAGTTTCTGAAATGAACAAATCCATGCTTCATTAATCTAATCTGGAACCACAAACACTGCTGCTTGAGTGTGAGCTGAATGCTAAATGTAGAGATTTCCCTGCAGTCCTAAATGACATTTGAAATGACCGACAGGCCAGTCACGACCAGCAGTCAGACAACCTGTCAGACACTTTAAGCCAAATATATATTTTTTTTATCAGGGACAATCCAACCCTTCGAAAAACTGAGCACCATACACCAGTCTGGTATTATCTTCTCAAAAACCTAAACCCTTTAGTTGATGTAATGCACTGGCATGAGATATAATCCATTCAGCATCTAAAAATGCCAGCATGCCAGATATCATATCATGGAATATTTGGATAATCCTAATCATGTTGGAGGAGATTCTCTCATTGAGCTCTCTAAAAAAAGAAGTCAGACAATCATGGATTTATTTTCCAATCTAGCATTGAGGCAAGCAAGCTGCTGAGTGTCGTTTTTTTCTCATTGCACAAGACAAATGGATGCAAAGGCCATCGACTAATGCAAGTCGTCAACATGACACACAGTATATCAGAAGAAACACGACACTCAAAGGAAAGTCAAAACTTTTGACACAAATGTTATAAGAAATTCGGCATGAGACGATGTATGATTTTATAACTGATCAGGATGAACATAAATATCCTTCACATGTGTGTCTTGTAAAAGCTGTGTTGTTAGCTTTCATAACAGAGAAACTAAAAAGAGGCTTATTTAAAAAACATACAGGATTATCATGTAAGAAAGAACAAACTCATACAATGTGTTTTTTTCCTGCATGGGGAGCATAGGAAATATGACTTTTAGAATGTTTGTTTTTCACACAAAAAAGATGTCTGTCCTATCTGGGATGCAATAATTGGTTTGTTAAAACATGTAAGGTAAAGTGATTCCAGTACATTAAAGTGCCATTTATCCATATTTTGATGATTATTGGGATACTTTTATATTACTATTATTTTGGCCAGAATAATCCTGACATAACATTTTGATATCTTCCCATAAGATAAATCACATTTATATTGATTGGTTCTTCAGACAAACGCCATGTATGACCTTTATACTTCATCTACAGTATGTTCCAGTGTCAAACAGATGTTGTGACAAAAGCAGCTCTGCTTGACTAGTTTTTTGGGGGGTTTAGGGGTTTTGGGTATTTCTTTGGTTTGCATTCCTCTTGAAAAGGATTGCACAGCCAGGAGTTCTTATTTAAAGGGGACCTATCATGCAAAATGCACTTTTGTACGTCTTTTATACATGAATATGTGTCCCCGGTGTTCCAGGGAACTCACCAAGTGTCAGAAAACACAACCCTCTCTATTTTCCTCCATACCCAAATCTCTAAAAAAGGGGCTGCAACGGATCTGATAAAAACTGATCCAGATTTGAACACTGTCCTGACGTCAGGACGGTGGCGCTACCGCTATTGGGCCAACTCCACCAATCAGGAGGAGACAGCCACGGCCATTGCCGTTCGAAAGCGCTGGAGACGCTGTAGTACATATGCCAGGCCAGTAGATGGTGCTGTTCTGCCCTTATCTGCCCTTACAAACACAGAGCTAAAAAATGTCAAATTGAGCAAAATGAGGCATGGCTAAAATGCATGATCTGTTTGGTATTTTGAAAAAAAAAAAGTATAAATATGCCTTATATAGGTATGGTCCTACACTATATTATTCAAATATAGCATGATAGGTCCACTTTAAGTGAATATTGATTTCAGGGAGGAATGCTAATAACGGTTATATGTCTTATTGAGGTTGCAGTAAAGTGAGATTTTCCCCAGACTGTGACAAGTAATTTAACAGGACTTCAGTCTTTGATGTAAAGTTTTAGATTTAGCTTCATAAATTATGTATGAGCCCAATTCAAATATGCTGGAAACTGCATCAAGCATCTGTTATGCAACATACAGAAAGATATCAGCATACACTACTGCATTTCAGTCATGTGTTTTTGAGATACTGTATATCTGTCTTATGTAACTGCTCTCTCCTGTGGTTTTGTGTTTTTCAGAGTTGACAAGTGATCTAGAGGTGAAGCCTCAAGGAAGGAATCCAATAGGTATGTTAAAAAAAAAAACTTTGATGTTCATATTATTCTATTCTTCACACACCTCCGTCATGAATTAGCTCTCATTCTGCACTTAAGATAGAAAAACAGACATGTTTGCATCTCTTTGGGCTTGTTTGTCTTGGCCACACTCAACCTCAACCCCCTATCCACCAGAGCCTGCATCCCTCTCTTCCACCGTCTGTCCTCTTCACCCTCCCATCCCCCAGGGAATGGATCCCTGTCAGCCACCCTCCTCCCCATTTCTGTCTCTCTCTCTCTGTCTCTCATGGCTGTATCTGTGTTTCTTTGGTTTAAATAAAAAATAATTTGTCAGCGCTAAAGGGGAGCTGCACATTCTCACTATAAAAAGGCTAGGGCAGAAAATGTATGAGAATTTATGGAAATGGCTAAATGGAGTACATTGTACACACATCCTATATTCTATAGACTAAATAAATCAAAAATGTTTGGTAAAAAATATATAAGTTCCCCGAATATTGTAAATAAATTGCAACATCAGTGAAAAATATTCACAGTTATTCAATATTTCTCTTAAAATCAGTCAACCCTCGCCGATGCAGACAGCTGCAAAGACTGTCAGTGTTGTCTGGATGCAGGGAAGCATAGGCACCATTTTGTCACACCAAATTAGAGACAGAGCAGGGGAAGAGAAGTCAAAAGGCTGTGTGAATGTGTGTGTGCTTGTAGAAATTAATGTGGGGGGTTCGTGTTTGGCTGCATTACTGAGCCATTAGACCCCATCTCCTTTTCCAGGACAGGTTATCCCCAGATCCATCAATACAGCACGGTGCTCTGCTCTCCTCCCACCCTGACAAATTGATTCATCCTCTTTTTCTTTCCCTGCTCTCGTTTTTCCTTGTCGTCCCAGAGGGAGGGTCCATTTACAAGACTTTGCTGAGAACAAGAGAGACGTAGAGCCAGGAAAAGGAGAGAGGAAGAGATGGAAGGAGAGAGGTATTAAGAGGTAGCAAAGAGGGCGATTAAGGGGAAAAGACAAGGCGGCAGGATGCGGTCAGCTGCAGACGTGGAGGAGACGTATGGAAGGATATTAAGATCACATTAGGTACTGTAGTCTATACTTAGCATATGAGCTCAACCTGGGTGTGGTGATGGGCGACAGAAAACCTGAGACTGATCGGTCCTCAGAGGATTCATCCTGGAAGACAAATGGGAGATTGAGGATGGATATGGGAAATAAAACAAGCTAAAGTATCACTCAGTACAATAAAGAAAATGTATATAGGCAGAAAATAAGAGACAGCTAGAGCAAGGGAAATGTCATGAAGCATAAGATGAAGCAGCATCAAACTCAAAGATGTTATCCATGTATGAAGCCTAATATGGATCATAGTTTCACCTGCAGGCCTCACCAAACCTCCCTGCAGCCTTTGGGAGTCTCCTGCCCTGAAAACCTGACCTATTTCTATCTGCAGAGGCCTCAGTGCCAGCTCCTGTGGATGTAATCCTCCACTAAGTCAGCCCTGAGGTTGCTGCATTGACTTTTCATTCATACTTCCCTCTCCTCTGGGGAATGTGCCTCAGAGCACACATGTTGTCTACAGAAGCAAAAATAATAAGCAGACTTCAGCATTAAATCTGACCTTGGTGAGGGTGAAGTTCATGGTGAAAGGAGGCCTCGAGTGGTGGTTTTTCCTATTTAGAGAAATGTAGTTGATGTTATGGCATTGAGGAAGTGGAATTTTTAGTTTGTATCACATATATATAAATATATAAAACACAGTACGGTGTCTTATTGATCTGTGGTGCAGCATACCTACACCTTGCTCTATGTATACAAATAATAGATGTCTACAACAAAATTGTTCTGGCTAGCTTTCTCTCTCCCTCAACCTACTGATGAATGATTTATGCTTTCATGTTTTCACATTTTCCCCCTTCCATAATGCAAAATGTATTTAGATATTGAACATTTCCATGAGAACAGAAATGCAAAGTCCAAATTGAAAGGATTTTTGAGTTGCTGTTCCAAAGAATTTTAGAAATCATTTTGGATACTATGTGACTGTTTTATTAATTTAAAATAAGAATGCGTATAGTTTGAGTCCATCTTAAAACAAATCCCTAAGCATGAAGGGAATTAAGACGAAATACTGCTCAGCGGGCTGTCATTTTGGAGTGGGATAGAGATTACTCTTTCATAAATGTGTCATTTCCAGCTCCTAAACAGCACTTATGCAACTAAATGTTTCTATTTTTAGAGTACCTGTTTCAAACTATGTGAGCAATTTGGTGATATCCCAAATTCTCAGACTTGGCCTCTTTAACTACTCCATATGTTATAGCGTGACTCAAAGACAGTATATGATCAGGACAATCTGTTTTATCAGACATTATGCAAAGACATTCAAAAGACAGCAATACCAATATCAAAGTCTTCTAACAGGCAATGTGGCCGATCCATGTTCAGCAGATACGTGTGTTCCTCCAGTCACAAATCCATATAAGAACATGGTTTACACTCCTTCCAATTTAAAATAATGAATCTCTTAGCTGAACATGTCAACAGTGACTCCAACGTTTATATCTTTTTTCTAGCACAGAAGGCATCGCCTCTATAATCATATGTGCATGGGATTAGAGCTTGTGCGGCATGACAAATGCTCAGTTTTGCGAGATAAGCAACCCACTGCTCCAGGATAATACCATAGGGGTAATACACGTGTTTAAACTGTGTATGTGCTGCTGTCTAGGGTTTGTATATACAAGTGCTGATTTTGTTGTAAAATGTAGTAGGTTGTGGATAGAGCATTCAACTCATTTTACTCCTCGGTAATTCTTCATCTCTTGAAAGATAGGTACACAATGTATTTATGTATGCCCAAATGTAGGCCCATTTTTCAGTTACACATGTATAGAAAGTCTTATTTTTAGACCTATAGGTCTGTTTACATTTCTGGTCCTTCTGTGTGTCAGAGTTACAGGAGGAGGAGGAGCTGCTGGAGAACCGCTGTTGGGATGTGGAAAGCCGTCTGGACGAGGAGGAGTGCACCTTTGGAGAGCTTCGTCAGGAGCTGAGTCACAAAGGGGCTTTGGTGGGAGTCCTCAGAGCCAATCTCAAGGACAAGGAGCGCCATTTCCTGGAGGAGCTGAAACACCGGAGCCACTGTTCAACCATCCTGAACACGGAGCTGCAGAAACAAACAGAGGCAGCAGCGTACCTCTCCTTCCAGCTGCATGGTGCCCGCCAGAAACTGCACCACCAGCGAATGCAGCAGAGGCAGGGACTCCTCGCACGGGCCAACAGTCAGGGGGCCCAATACTGTGCCGAGCAGATCTCTGTCTCTCCTCAGAGGCCTTCAGGAGCCTCCCCTTCCTCTCCCGTGGTTAAACCCAAGCGTAAAAGCGCCAGGTCGTCTTTGAGAGTGGAGCGTTCCCGGGAGTGTGTTCCCATAGAGAAAGTGACAGGCCCCGCTGAGCCCACAGCCATGCCGGACCCTGCACTCTTCCTCCACCCTCGCAGGCACAGGGCCCGCTCCAGGCACGCTGTGGCACAAAGACAGGCTCCACTGGGGCTGGAGAGGGAGGATGAGGAGGAAGGAGGTGGTGAAGGGCCGATGGAGCCTCAGGGCGGAGCTGCCAGACTGCTGTCTTCAGCGGCAGCGCCCCCTGCTGCTGAGACAAAGGCAGATTAGCGAGTACTAAAGCCTGCACTTTAAACTGCAGTTTGATCACTCTATGATCATCTGAGACTGTTAATGCTGGTAACTGTTCTGCACCTTGACTGAATTGATACTGCGACTGGTTTTAGCTCATTAATTATTATATTACACTTATTGTAGTCACTTTTTTTAAATGGACTTTGATATAACCCTAAATAACTTGCAAAGAAAACTCAGAAAGTGTCACTTTAAGTCAGTCTTAGATGAATTATCTGTTTACACTGGTGTCACATGCTCAGTATACTGTGGGGCCTTATTTCAAAGCCACCCCTTTTGGATCTTTGTTGATGGTGAGCGGCCATTTTAGAAGGACTACAAGCCCAACCAGCTGTGAGCTTTCAAGGCCTACCATAAATCAAATGTGACCAAACATTTGTTTGGCCCCTAACTGAGGCACAGCTGACATATCTGAAGCGGTATGTTCGAGTCCTCCCGGTGAAAAAATGTTGACTGAAAGGAGGTGTGTTCCTGTGATAATACAAAGAGTATAAATACAAAGGACAGTCGATTAACTTCCAATAAAACAGTAGATCAGTTCTATCTTTATTACACATATTTATACCTTTCCAGTAGGTTTCCATGACAATTTATTTATAAGGACACAACTTGGGTGTTGTCAGCAATATCCCCAACCATTTTTTTTTTCATTTTTTTTTTTTAAATGAACCAGAACCTGTCGTTTGCCCTAACCTGGACCGCTTATCTCCGTCTGTACGTTATTGTAAACCCAACAACAGAGAGCAACGCTTCAGGAAACAAAATATTTTTTAGAAACAGATTTGACACGAGCCCTGCCAACAGTGACTGTAAATCTGTTTAAAATCAGTGTTCATGGCTTTAACTGCAGATAATTACGCTTCAGTTAGCTTTCCTTGGTGCAACTAAACTAACACTTGGTACAATTTGAACTACTAACTATAGTCCTTGCTGTTGCCCATAGATCAATAATACTTTATTTTAGACTCTAGGTCTATTTGAAAAGAAAAAAACTTCATGTCAAAAATGTGAACATTCAACGTTCACAACTTGAAATGTGGTTATTAAAGCAGCTGTTAAAAAGTAATCACTTTATACTTTGACAAAACCTGTTTTATTTGCGTTTCTGTAAGTGCATTGGATCGGTGGAGGACAGATCAGACAGTAATTTTGGCCACGTGTAAACTTTCCATCTTACACTATTAAAATATACACACAGAGGCACATAAACGTTGCTTTATTTGTCTGCAGTAACTGCTTTCTATAAACAGATTGTGACGTGTTGGACCATGCGTTAGACTCAGGTGTGGTGTGTGTACTAACTAAACACACACAGCACTACTTCTTCAACTAGTTTGTGTTCGGCTATTTTGTTGGGGTTTCTTTTTTCACCTCAGGCAAAACAGATAATCACAAACTTGACTGCAGGTTTATGTGTGTTTTTTAAGTGGGATTGACATTTTCTATCTGCATTCTGTTCCTTTTTCCCTTTTACACACCCAAGATGAACACCTAGTGACTGTGTACTGTAGGCAGGCAGTGTGTGTGTGTTATCAAAACACATGCATATGGTGGCCCCTAGCGTTACAATGAGCGAATAGCAACTTGAAAACAAAGCAGTATAGGATCAAATTATCACTTTATCACTATATTTTAATGTAGGAAATACTTTTTAAAGTTATTTATTTTTCTTTTCTCCATTCAGTACCCTTATGTAATGAATGCCTTATAATAGAGGAGCTGTGGATATTAGAAATACAGTGTGGAACATTTCTAAGTAAAGTGTTGTGCCCTTTTGTTTCAGAAACCCTTTTATAAGACTCTTTGGGATTTGCATATAAACTCTATTACTCTATATAATGTGGCACCTCAGTTATTTTGAAGCTGTGTCACAGTTGATTAATTCTTGAGCCATGACTCAACTTAGCATCAGTGTCTTTGAATGAGCCTTCCTGCAAGAATGAATTTAATTGTGTTTAGTTGCTGTGAGGCTTTTCTTGCCTTCTGCAGCTACTGATTACAAGTTTAGCATTATGTTTAAGCAGTGTAACCTCAACAAAGCAATATATCAATATATTTATATATCATTAGTATGTCACGTCAGCCAGTTTAAGGACACTTGAGGTATGAAATTAGATTTTATGATTGTTTAACTTTGTATTTTGTAATAGTTGAGCTCAGTATGTGTTGCTTAATATTTTTCTGAATTGTCAAATTAATTGTTTTTGTTGATTGTCACTGCTGAATCTTTAAATGATTATTGATATGTTACACTTTATGGGAGCCATATTTAAGTGAGGAATCAGTGGTGCGTGCATGTGAAGCAGTTTTAAGCAAAAGGGCATATGTTTATGCCACACGAGACTGCTTGGGTGAAAATGTAGCCTGTTTGTGAAAATGCAAATGTGACAAAGGTTTTCATTCTCTTCTCAGCTGGTACCCATAAGCATGAATGTGTGCACTATTCTTCCGCAGGGGATACAAGTACAAAGCTGTCTGGTTGAAAACTGATTTTATTTTCCTGAACTGAGACTGTTAGACTTCCTCACTCCATGTCATCCAAACAAACAGCAGGTAGATTAAACTCATCGATAGATTAACAATCACCTCTATTCATAATAAGTTGACATCCTGCATACCCTAATGTCAAACATTTTAGCGATACTTTGGTACTATGTTACAACTTTGATTAAACACCAACATTCAGGTTGCTGAATGCAGCTCCAGAGATTGTTTGTCTGCTTTGAGGGAAAATGCTAATGCGCCAAAGAGGCCCAACACTGAAACTAAAATGAAGACGAATGGTGTGATGCCTTAAAAAGGATGTCATGAATATTTCAGCTGAATAGAGAAAATCTTCATCGCCTGATTTTGTTTTAAACTTTTTAACGTCTTCCATCTTTCTGAACGCCTTTATAATAACCCTAATCCTCATAGTATTAACAAATGTAAGCAGCTTCTTCCTCTCCTGGCTGAGGTCCAATCATTTTATTTAGCATTCTAGAGAAACATGTCTGTGGACTTAATGCGGCACCATGAAGCATCTTGTTTGACGTGTTATGTGGTCTCTAGCAATAATGCACCCAACATGGAGACATGGCTCTGGGTCGTTGAATGGTGGTTTGGTCCTCGGGTGAGCATAAACTGTTGACTGATTACCGCATATACTGTGTTAGCTTCCTATATTGATCTACTGTACACTTCATTGGAATAAAATGAAGGATTGTGTAGTCTGCTGTCTGCTCGTTATTGTTGCTTTAAAGTTTGCCAGAGAAATTCTAACTCCTTTTTTGCAGGTGGTTCAATTAAATTATTTTCCTTTTCATTGAAATATGAAGTACACCGGGCAATATATTTGATTAATCATTGAAACAACTTTTCATACAAAAATCTGTTTTCAGCCTCTAAATCATGATGATTTAATGCTTTTCCTTGTTTTTTTTCTTATAAAACTTAACATTTCTTGGGTTTGGACTGACAAAACATTTAAAGACATCACCTTGTAGTTACAGAAACTGGGAAGGGCATTTTTCCTCATTTTCTTACATTTAATAGACCAAACAATAGTTGATTAAATAATTAATAATTGTTAGCCATAACCTCATTCAAACAATCAATTATTTGAGCCCTAATGTGGAGCTAGATTTTTTTTATCGCAATTATTTTCTTGTGTTGACAACAAATTAAATTATATAACAAAATAATGTTGCATGATTTATACATGGTTCGGGGTGTAAAATAATTGGTACTAAAATATATTTTAATGAGCTCTTTCCATTCTATACAGCAATTCAGTGTTCTGAAAAAGACTATTATTGCCTTTAAGATATGTACAATGTACTACTTCATTATCAGATGAGTAAAAAGCAATTGGAGAAAATGTAAAAATCTGCTCTCAGGCCACACACATATTCTCAGTATTATGTTGTATGAGAAGGAGCTTTTATCTCCCAAAGGAGTCATAACACTTGTATATTCACCCTGCAACATGTCCGCAGCTTTAATACATTGACAGAAAGTATGTTTCAAGCCCAAATTGGGTCTTTGTTAGGTAGTGAGGAATAGATTGCTCTGAACTCGTTCATTATATAAGGAAAAAAGTAAAGGATCAATGTTAATGTGAGCCTTCTGGGAGAGACTATTTGTTTTCGGAGGACAAAATAGATGTGTTTTATTTCATACCAGGGTGGAAGTGCTTCAACATTTCCTGTTTGTAAAAACAGGAAATGAATACTTAAAAAAATATTTTAAGTATTCATTTTACTAAGTATTGAAGTTACCATAAGGGTAAAAATAGAAATGATGTATCTTTGAAGGGTCGATTGATCTCACTTTATGATGGTGGAGGGATTAAACAGAGAAAAACTTCCTGTGGGAATAACTCAATTCTATTTTATCTTACTTAATATGGACAATGCTTCACAGTATACATATAAATCCCCAAGCAGGTTAATCAAGCTATAGCTGTATATAATAATTTGGTCAGTGAGCTGAAGTATGGAGGTTCATTGACAGTTGGATGTCACCAACTGCTAGCTAGCAGTTGGTGACATCCAACTGTCAATGATCACTCAAGTAAATTAAATAGTATTGTTACACTTTGTCTTTCTACTCAGCCATTGTTGACTTTTTATGTTCAAGTGCTAAAGATAAAATCTACATTTCCCATAAAAATCAAATATGAGTTTGTAAAAACGATGTGTCTCTTGTGGCTTTCCGTAGCGGGTGGGTGGGGAAGTGCAACGCAAAGGCAAATAGGTCAAGGGGAGGAGAGGAGGAAACCACGTGTGATCATCAGCACCATGTACAGCACTGTCCTTCCTCAATAGACTTGTTTTTGTAAGCTTGTACCCTTCGCATGTAGCCACCTAGCCTGCTGATAGCCGGAGAGAAGCATATTTTTGTATTTTCTTCCTCAGACTCACGTATTGAAGCTAAGCTGCTGGGGGGTTTCTGTTGCCACACTGACTGCCCACCATGGTGAGCAAGACAGATGACATCCCGGCGTCAGTGCCTAACTGTAATCCGGTTGATCTTGCGGATGAAGCCGGGGATGGAGCCCAGGAGGACGGCAAAGAAACCAGCAAGACACATCTGAAGGATCCCTGCGGCTGTGGTAAGCCTCTTTGACTCAAGTTACAGCACCTAGCATGCATTATAAATACACTGATAACTCGCATCATATAACACACAGTATTAGGGCAACTTCATTTAGCCAGCATCCATGTGCATTATCGGATTTGTGTGGTTTGTTAAATGTCGTGTTTAATGTCTCTGCATAGCATCCACTAAAGCTAATGACATTTCATTCCATGCTTTCTTGTTATGTGACTTAAAAGTCCTCAGTCCCAATTCAAGGTGGTGGTCTGTGGGATGCACCCCCCTCCTCCCTTCATCTACTAGTTAGCCTCTCCAAGTTTAGAGGGTCCACCTTGCACCTAGCAGCATATGCTAAGCTGTCTGGTGGTCATCTGTGCTAATTGGCAAGCTAGCAACATCGGGATCCGACACTTTAATCATGCAAGGGTCATAGTTAAGCATGCAGTCCAAGTTCAGACTGACACCACAAGGAAACCAGGTTAACCGGTATGTTAGCATTAGCCTTCTCATTGAGTATGCGGCTAATGTTAGCTGGCTCACTAGCAAGCAGTCGCTCTCGTGAGTCGGCGCATCGCTTCATGCCCATTAGAGCACATGAAAACGAGTTATTTTCTTGTAACAAACAAACAGTCTGCATATCATATGATTTGTTCACGTATCACAGTGCTGCAACTCCTGTTGTGCTAGCTCGTATCAACACATGTTCCGTTGCAGCTTGAATGAACTGAAGGTCACCTTCAGTGGAGCGGCACACTCTGCACATTATCACAGGGGGGTTCATGTACACTGTCGCACTTTATTTTTGTGTCCTACAAGTTAAGTTTTATATGCGTTACCTCTCTGCGTTTTTTGATTGTTAAAAGGCGAACTTTAAGAGATGTAAGTTGGAAGAAGTGTCCAGCGGTCGGTCGTGACACTAAAGCGGGCCCCTCTCTCCTCCCCGCCGGGGAAGATCAGATCGAGTGTCCCTTCTTGACCGGGAAGCGGAAGCTGGTTGTCGTAGAAAAAAAAAAAAGTCATGATGGTGCATACACAGTGAAGGAAGGTTACGCTAATAATACTTGAACAGCCGTGTAAGCTGGTGAGTATACTGGAAGATAAAAGTAGTGGTAGCGGAGTAGCAGCACTCGGATAAAGAAGAAGATTAGACTGTCAGCATGTGAAGTTAATGTTATACAACTTGTGGAGCACTTAAAGGCAGTGCTGCTGCAGCGTCTGCGTGTGTCACATGTGGGACCTTGAGTCGTCTCTGCCCGTGTCAGTTAATTGGAAAACACAGGCATGACTGCCCCACTGCTTTACCTGTGAATGATGAGTTTGTGCTGCTTTGAAGATAAACTGCTGAGCTGAATGCTTTTTAATTAATCTCGTTTTTTGGCTGGGTGATTATTGATGTAAGCTATGTGCTGTCCAGTCTTTCAGTCCTTCCACATGGAGCATTGTATGCTAATGCTTCATTGGAGAGCCTAAACAAAT